GCCTGACCCCAAAGATAATGTGTCCCCCGCCTCCAATCACTGATATTCAGGTCATTAGACCTAAGGGTTTGCTTTGTAATGATGTCCAAAGGCATTTCAGCCAGGCTACTTAAAGGAGATCTGAGTCCCAGGGGACCAGGACCCTGTCCCGACCCCCCGCACCCCAGCACAGGCCCCTTCACAAGTCCGTCCTGGCTTCCCCACCTGAGCCGCTCTTAGCCCACCTGCTGGCCCGGAGCCCTCGGGGCCCCTGCCCAGGCTCAGTGCAGCCTCCTGAGAGAGGGGCCCAGGCCCCCACACCCAGCCTGGTCACCAGAACCCTCAGTTCAGCAGGGTCTTGAAGATGCGTGGACTGGGGGGCATTCTCATCAGGTCTGGAGCTCGGAAATTCTTTGCCTAGAAATCCTGGGCCCATGGGGAGTGAGGCCTGGTGGCATGCATCAGGCCCTCAGAGCACCTGTTGTGGAGGGACCCCCCTTCCCGCCCTCTCCCTGCTGTTTGCCACCTCCAGTTCCCCCCCAGGGTCACGGGGCCACATAGGGCCCCCCCAGTCCCCCAGGTTAGGACTGGTGCACCCGTGGCCAGCCCAGAGGCCTGGACCCCCTCCCCGCCCCGCTCCATCCCAAGAGGCACCGGGCCTCGTCTCTGCTCTGGATTCCTCCTCCGCCACCCCCACACTGTCTCTGCGACCCCCCACTTCCCTGATGTTCTCCTGGTGCCTCCCCCTTCCTCCCCAGCCCTCCCGCCCCTTGCTGAGTGCTATTTAAATTCTGGGTTTTGTCCTCTGATTAATTTCCTCATCTGCTTGGCTTAACGCCAAAGAATATTCTTTCCAAATGAAAAATGGTAAATGTTTTCTCTCTCCTAAGAATTTTATGTAAATGCCGCACAGCGTGCTATCAGGAGGGAACAAACGTTCATCAGCTGGTTCTGTTGTCAGTGGCCGACCCCAGCCTCCGGATCCAGATAACTTTTCTCGTGCTTATGAAGGCCTTGCATATTCATTGTTGAATATTTTGAAAAACGCAGAGCACATGAAAAAAAAAAAGAGTCCAGGCATCTCGGGACCTCTCCTGCGTTCTGGTGTGTGTGTGCGCACGCGCGTGCGTGTGCGTGTGTATGCGTGTGTGTGCGTGTGTGTGCGAGCAGCTCTCTTCTACATGATTTTTTATCCTGATCATTTCACTCAGTGTCGCGTCGGCAAGTACTTTCCAACATAGCATTCGGGAGTCTTCAAAAACACGATTTTAATACCAGAATAACGTTCCATCGTGGAGACATCCTAAAATGTAATCATTCCGTCGTTGGGAGGATGTTTAGCCTAATTCCATTTCTGCGCGATCCGTCCCATGAGAGGACCCTCCGGGCCGCGCGTCTCTGCTTATGGAGCGGCGGCCGGGGTCAGGAAGGTGCCCAGGTGGAGCCTGCAACATCGTAAATGCTCTCATTCTCATGTTCGGCGCTATTATTTCCTCACAGGCAATTCCCGGAAATGGCATTCTGGGTCAGAGGGCACACCTTGCCCAACTGCCTTCCCCGGGGCCGTGTGGACACACAGGCCAGGCAGGGCACCCCCTCGCCACCCCCGGCCGGAGCTGTTCCACATAAACGCTGGGGGATCATTGTAGAGTCACGTGCCGTTCTAAGAAATAACGCAGAGACTTCTAGGTACCCTTTACTCCGTGTCCCCCGGGGTAGCTTCTTGTTAAATTACGGTTCGGTATCACAACCGGGATTCTGACCGCGAGACAAGCCACCGCCATGCACGATTTCCCCTGTTTTACTGTGGTTGTCTGAGTGTGTGTACCGAGTCTATACAATCCCATCCCACGGGCGGGTTCCTGCAGCCACAACCGTGGGGACAGGATGGACAGATCCGCCCCATTAAGACCCGCCCACCTGCTTCCTCCACCCACCCAGTCCCTAACTCCTGGCTCACGCTAATCTCCCCATCTCTACAATTATGTCATTTCGGGAGCATCACCTAAATGGGGTCATATAGTACGGGAACTTTGGAGATTGGCTTTTATTCGCTTGGCACAAACCCCTGGAGACCCATCCAGTTGTGTGGATTGATAATTTACTCTTTTTTATGGCTGAGCAGTGTTCCGCGTCGCAGACGCACCCCGCAGTGTGATGTCTTCCCCCGCGGAAGGGCATCCAGGGACGTCCGGACTTGGGCTGTCTTCCCCGTTTCCACGGTTCGTCACTTTCCTTATTTCCTGCTGTTTCCTGGGAGGCCAGGATGGCCGTTTGCAGACGTCAGCACCCTTGTTTTGGTTGCGTAGAGATTTCTGAAGTCCCTGTGACGTTGATAACTAAGAGGCGTCGTCAGAAAGGGCAAGAGCATATACAAGGAGGATGAAACGTTCCCGCCAAGTTTAAGAACGTCCAGGGGGCTGAGACCAGTCGCTCGTGCAAGGGTCAGGGAACGTCCCAGAAGCATCAGCTCCGATCAAGCAGAGGAAGGACGCGGAGCGGGGTCCCCGCACAGAGGACCTGAGCGCACTTGTCGCTCCGCCGGAAGGCGACTCAACAGAAGAAGACAGCACCGTCGTCCCTACCTCCCCTCCTCCCCGCCGTCCGCAGCAGTGTGTTGTCTACACGTCTAGCATTCCGTCTTCAGCCGGAGCCCCGTGAAATCACTCGGGGGACAGCACTGGAGAGGAATCGTAGCGAGGGACATGTTGCTGGAGATCTGTTACTGCGGGTGCCACACAGCTCTGTGAAAATGGTTGCTAAGGCAATTGAGTAAAAAATTCACAGGCGGCGTACACAGTAACAGCAAACAATGAACGTAAGCGCCTGTTTTCAAACAGCCAGCCCCAAAAGCACGACATGTCCGAGGCAGATCGTTTTTTTCATGATTTGGAGACGTCCCACAGACGTTTTCTGTGATTGCGACAGCTGCTGAGGGCCCTCGTGGCTTGCCAGCATCTGAGGTTGTCCCCCTGGTGATAAAGATGGCAGCCAGCCTCGCAGAGGAGCTCCCCGGGGACACTCAGCCCCTCGAGGGGGCACCTGCCCCAACCCCACCCCGCCCAGTCCCCAGTCCCCTCCTGGGCGTATCCACACACCGATGCCGTCTTCTGCGGTAGTGCTGGCCTTTGTCGTTCCCGGCCTGCAAACCCAGCCCAAACCTAACCGCCCGGCGGTTCCCTCCTTGGTCAGGACGGGGACCGGCTGGTGACGTAGCACCCAGCATCTGAGCAGGAAGCCCAGTGGCTGGCGGCGGTTGACTCCGTGCCCATGCCCACGAGAATGTGATAAACCCATCAGTGCCGTTCCAGGCGGCAGCCAGGAGGCGCCTCCCACCCACCCCCTGGGCCGGGGTCTGCCCTCCCACGTAGGTGCCCAGAGTAAGGGCTTGGCGGGCACTCGAAGGCCTGGCACACTCGGCCCACTCTGTTCTGCGAGGCTCTCCTACTCCTGCCGAAGCGCCCGAGGCCCCGAAGACGGAGTCACTTTCTTGGCAGACGGGTCCAGCCACGGCTGGGCTGTAAACGGGGAGGGAGCCGCGAGTCATCTGTGTTTGCGACGCCCAGATAACAGACGGCTGTGCGTCCTGCCCGACTGCCAACCAATCAACCCTGCAGCCGCCCGTCATCCTCCCTTAAGGAGGGGAAGGGGAGAAACCACAGGAGGACAGAGAGTGGGTATAAGGACCGACTTTGCTTAAATGTTGCTTTGTCTGAGAATTCGCACATGGACCCCAGGCCAGAAATGCACATCGGTAAATGCGCACTCCAGAAATCGGGGCTAGTGTCAGGCACACACGGAGAACGGCAGTCCCCCCACCCCAACCCCCGCCACCACCCAGGGCAGCCAGGGTCCCCTGAGCAGCCGCCACTTGCAGGGCCCACCTGGGCTCCAGGCTCCATGGAGCAAGACGCGACCTCCATGTGGGAAGCATGCTCTGGCAGCCACGGCCACCCATGGTCAGAGCCGGGGTGGACGTGGAAGCTGTGGCTGGGCCTGCCCTGGCCCCGTCTGGGGCCAAGCAGGAATAGGAGTGCGGGGGCGGGGGGCACACACCAGCCCCTGTCTCCCCCAGCTGGAGCGGGAGCTGCATGAAGCCTGTGTGCGTCGCAGCCCAGGCTTGGTCACCGGAGGTATGTGACCGGGCCAGTCCCTCCTTACTGTCCGGCTTAATGCCACACCTTTCAGATTCGCAGAGTGGTGGTGTGGTGAGCCAGGAGTGGTCCTGGGTAGGAGGTCACAGCCTGAAGCTGGCGGGGGACACCAGGGAGCCCTGGCCACTTGCCCCCGGCCGAGCGTGAGGAAGCCAGGATGCCCAGGCCATCTCCGTGGGTGGAAGAACCTTCTGGAAAAGGTGGAGCTCGGGGAGGGGTGCGCCCCAGTCTGTGGGTGAACGCTGTCCCGCTGCCGGCCTGGGGCCCCCACCTCACCCCCACGTTCCCGCCAGCCTGGCACACACCGGGGTCCTGTCTGTGCTCCAGATCGTGCCGGCGACTCGGCCCTCACTTGGGTCCCCTCTCCGCTGGCGACGATGCCCTTCCACGCCCTCCCTGAGCACGGCCGGCTGGCCAGGCAGCTCTGTTTCTCTGCGGAAAGTCCCGCTGGAAAGAAAATCTCTTCCACAGAACTCGGGAGGCCTCTGCCCTGGGCCTGGCTTTGCAGGGAACTCTGGTCGAGCAAGGGTCCAGCCGATGAGCCCCCAGGACTCCCTGGGACTCCCAGCGGTGGGCTGTCGGGAGGCCGAGGGAGTCAGTCTGTGTGTCAGGAGGTGGTGGCCGTGGCCAGCCCCGACCCGGGTAGCTGTCTCGTGGGCGGGAGCTCTGCCTTCACGACCGTTTCGGGCACAACGGATGGAAGGTGTCACGGTCTGTATGGATGGACTCGGTGAAGAGACATCCGGGTGGCATTCCGGGCCGCGGCTGCAGACCTGCGGGTGGGCCGGAGAGAACGTGCGATGACGTCGCCATGGAAACCAGTTCCCCCCACCCCGCCCCTCATGCGCTGGGGCTCGTGTCTTGCAGGTGGTTTTCAGCAAGTACTGTAACTCCAGTGACATCATGGACCTGTTCTGCATCGCCACCGGCCTGCCCCGGTGAGTGGCCCAGCTCGCCCCGCCCCCAGAACGCCCCGCCCCTAGGTCGCCCCGCCCCCCGGAACGCCCCGCCCCTGGCCCGCCCCCAGAATGCCCCGCCCCCACCAGCAGGGCACTGGCTCCAGGAGAGGACCCTGTCTGGGAGGGAGGGCGAGTCGCCAGGTCCGAGGGGTGACGGGTGGGCCAGGGCCCGGTGGCTCACCTCGCACTTGGGGGCCCTTTCCAGTCAGTGAGTGAGACCCCGCAGGAGTGTGCGGCGGCCTGTCCCCCGCCTGTCCCCCGGCGACGCCTGCAGGAAACCGCTGGGCGGAATTAGACAGAAATCACTATCTTAAGAGGTTCTTTTCCCCTTTTTATGTATTTATTTGAAGAAGGACCCAGGAAGGGGGTTGTGTTTTGGCTTAAGGCTCCCAGCCCCAAACGATCCCGGAGGCGCGATTTTCTATCTGGGGGAGGCAGCTGAGAGGGGGTGCCGCAGAGCACTGTTTGGGAAAGACAGATTTTCAGAAAGTAGTTGAAAAGGCGGTAATCCCCTTGTAGAACCGTCAGAATTCCCGGGTTATTCCCGCGGTGAACAGTCTGTTCGAGTGCAGTTTCTGTCCTAACGTTCTGATTGTGAAGGGTGGTCGGGTCACCTTGTGTGTGGCCCCCGAGCCCGGAGCGGTGACCTGGGTGGAGGAAGAGATCACAGGCAGGGGAGGACAGGCCGAGGCATCGCCCGGACCTTACAGAAAACTGCAGATTACAGCGGCAGAAACAGCCCATGGCCTGGGCGTCTTGGAGCATCACGCTGGGAAACAGACTCCTTCGGTTCTCGCAAACGACCGGAGATTTGAGTGTTCCCCCCTCCCCCCACCCTTGCAGGCCACCGGAGACGAGAGAGGGTTAAATCATGTGTCCAAGGCCACACACACACACACACACACCTGCTCAGCAGAGGCCCAGGGGACGAGGGGTGGGGGGGTGTGGAGACTCGGTTTCCCTGCTAGAAACTGCTTCCTAGGAGAGGTCCCTGCCCCCGTGGCTCCCAGGGGCAGCGAAGCTGAGAGCAGAGGTCTCCCTGCTGACCCGCAGCCACACTCGGGTCTCATCCCCGCTCCGTAACTTAGACTGCCTCCCCTTCCCACTTTAAAGTCCTCAAAAACAGACGGAGCCCTTGGGATTATGCACAGGCTCTGTCCTGCCTTGGGGTCGGGCCATTTGTCCCTTAGGACTCAGGGACACTGACACGGTGTGTCTTCCAGGAACACGACCATCTCCCTGCTGACCGCGGATGATGCCATGGTGTCCATCGACCCCACCATGCCGGCCAATTCCGAACGGTAAGCAGTGGCCTCCGCCGCTCAGCGCCCTCGTGGCCCCCCTGAGACGTCTCTGCACACAGGGGACCTGCCCCACGGTTGTCCTCTTAATTCACTGCTGTAGGAAAAGCCAAACTGAAACCAAAGACGGGGCAGGGGTGGGAGGATCCTTTGTAGACCGGTCCCTTTCCAAGATAATCATGGGCGCAGGTGGCTCAGGGCCCTTGGGAGGGCTCACCCTTAACAAGGGTCCTCAGAGGAGGCACGGACAGGAAACTGAGAGCCCGAAGGCCAGTGAGGAGCAGAGGAGTCAGGCCCCAGACTGTACGCCGACGGCCCCGTCCTGCTCTGGAAGGTTCCCGGACCGTGCCCCTGGGGGTGTTGTGTTTGCCACGGGGCTGGGTCCTGGTGCGGACCTGGGGCTGCCCGCCTCCATCCGGGACAGTGGGGACCCCGGGGGCCCGAGGAGCTAGACCCGGAGAGGCCTGGCAGGGGAAAGGGGGTTAGTGAAGGTATGAGAAGGCAGCAGCGCCCGCCATGCGGCCAGAGGAAGGACAAGGCGTCCAAGCAGAGCCCCTCCCCTCCCTGGACGGCCCCTTGGACAGGCCTGCCGAGTCCCGCGGGGTCCCCACTTCACGTCTGCAGCTGCGCAAGGCCAGGGAGCAGGGCCCATGGGGGGGGCACCCCCTTCAAGATCCCCTGTCTCTCGCTCCCGCTCGTCACTCAGTATCTGCTCTGAGGGACGTTTGTTAATCCGGCCGTTGGGGCGTCCCAGGTGGCCCAGCCCTTCGGGCCGTTCAGAGCTGGAAGGAGAAAGCATGTCCCGGGCAGACCCCTCTCGTGCCCCAGCGGCTGGAGGGCCCATGTAAGATGTGGGATCCCTGCGATGGGGTGGTCCAAGACCCTCACTGTAGGTCCCCCGAAGGTCCCCCCCACCCAAGGTCTGTGCACCTGCTCTCCGTCCTGCTGGCTGTCAGCCAACCCCCAGCCGGGCTGGGTGCAGGACCCGCCCAGGTCCTGACAGGGGCAAGGGACGGCCCCAGTGCAGACACTCACTGCCTGAAACGCCAGGGGGGCCGAGGTCGAGATACACTCTCGCGTTCTCTTCACAGAGTTACTGGTTATCCGCTCAGAGGTCACCAACCCCGACCCAGCTCCGCAGGAGGCCGCCCTCCTCCCTCCCTCTCTCTGCCCCCAGGTTCTGACACTTTCTATCTCCCTGGGCCTGGGCCCCAGAATTGGCTTTTCTCTGGGTGCCCAGGTGGTCGTGGTAATGCTGGGTGGGACCCCTCTGCCCTCGGCTGATGGGACCTCCTCTCCCTCCACTGGCTTCCCCGCCACCTCTGTCTGCTTCCCGCCCTCTGCCCTGGGAGGTAGGTGCACTCAGGGGCCTCCTGCTCGACCCCCCGCAAGGCCCCGTCTGCTCTGGTTCTCTCTGGTCCCTCTGCCTGGGAGTCCCACCATTCCAATGTGACCAGTCCCACCAACCCAGTGACTTTCAGCCCTGCCGAGGATTGAAACACCAGAGATCTCCACAAAGCCCAGTGCCCAGACCCCTGCTAGGACCCGTCCAATGCGGAGTTTTGAGGGACTGCTTAGAGCTCACCGGGCGATTCCACGTGCAGCCCCGGGCGAGCGCCGCTGGTGGAGAATGTGGAAAATGTAAGAAAGTGCTCAAACCCACACGCCTTGGAAACGAGGCGTGACCTGAGCTGCCAGAACCCAGACACATTACGACACCGTCCCTAGGGCGATGAACCCCTAGTTCCACGTAAGCGACTTCCAGAAGATCTCCTGAAGCAGGGCCCTGTCCTGAGCGAGAGCGGGGCAGGCCCAGGGCGGGCGTGAACTCACTTCTCGACGCTGCGCCGGGAGGACCCCCACGGCGCTGTCTGCCCTTCACCCAGGGTAGCTGGGCACTCCAGCTTTTATATGCGTGCTTCCAGCCGTCAGAGTTTTCCACGTGGCCCGGGACTGCTGAGCCACAGGAGGCCCCGTCCGTCTGGTGTGCCGTTGGGCGCGCCAGAGTCCCTCCGGGTTTCCTGTGCTCGTTCTCTGCTGGTCCGTAGCAGGCCCGGCCCCTCCCAGACCCTCCCAGGCCCTCCCAGACCCTCCCAGACCCTCGGGTCAACGCTTGCACACGCGTCTCCCTCTTCAGCCACTGATGGACACTCCATGGCACGGCGAACAGATCCTCCGTGCCCTGCTGACCAGGGCCCGAGGATTTCGAGAGCTTAGCCATTCGGACAGTGCAGTGACACCCGTCCCCTCAGTGTGAACTTGAACGTGCGCTGTCGGGTCCCTGAGGACAGGCGCGTTTCGTCCTGTCCGCTGTTCTGTCACCCGTCCCTGACCCAGATGTCACTGCTCGTGACAGACTGAGCGACCGACCAGACAAACGGCTGACACGGACAAGTGACCTGTGACGGTGTTCCAACGGGCCCGTTTCATCCGATACCCTTGTTCCTAAAGGAACTCATGGGCTGAGTCAGAGGACTGCGTATTTTCCTGTTAACAGTCCTGGCAGGACACCTACCCCAGGACCGTGGCCGTGCGTGCTCCCGCCGGCGACGCCGTGGCACCTGTCTCCCTGGGCCCCTCCGGCCTGCGGGTTAGCAGGCTTGAAATTTCGCTTAACCACTGGGAAAAAACAGCATCTCTCTTGAGGAAGCTTTCTTAAACACTGTTATCAGCGATTACGTTTCCCTGAACCTCTTTCCCGTGGTTTCCCTCCCCCTCGGCCATAGGTCCTTGTGTGTCAAGGGCAAACATTCTCCCATCCCTTCTGGGCCTCGGGACGACCAGGGTGGCATCACCAAGGGCAGGGTCAGCCGAGGGACCGACCCCGTCTTCCCTCGTGCACCTGGGAGATGGGGTTGCCATGGGCTCGAGCTGGGCGAGGACGGAGAGTCTCCCCACATCCGTCAGGCGTCAGGGGGGACTCGGGCAGCCCTGGGGTCTCTGCCATTCGCAGTGGCCTTCCGCACCGGAGTAGCGACGGGACCGATCACCGACTGTGTTCAGCTCACCAAACACGAACATCACAGAGGGAGTTCATCGTTTAAATGCTGTATTTAAAGTATTTGGAATTCTTCCGAACGAGGAAGCTCAGAACAGCCAAAGAAACTAATTTCAGGAAGAAAAAAAAAACCCTAATCCGCTGAATTCTAATTTATCCCGAGCAGCTTATCTCCCACGGCAGACGCGCCGGGAGCGCCTTGGATGGCATCTCACGGCCCGACTGTCCCCTCTCTTACAGCACCCCCTACAAAGTGAGACCCGTGGTCGCCAAGCAGCTGTCTGGTAAGGCCCTGCTATCATTTTTAAAATTAAAAGAAAAAAAGAAGGCTCCAGACTGCCCCTGTGGTTGAATGTGTATTAGGTAAGCATCTGAATCCAAAACCCAGTGCGACTGCAGAACCCAAACCCCTATCTTAGACACCCGCCCCGGCAGTCCCTCAGGAGCCTCCCTCCCCTGCTGTCCCTACAGACTCAGCACACGCTAGGTGACGCGCCCTCCCACGTCCCCCTGGACGCAGGGCCTGTCCTGCTCACTCAGACTGTGACCTGCAAAGGTGGGCCCTTTGCAGCCCCCCAGCCCCCGGGATGCTTTGTGTAGCCAGCGGTGCTGTTTTGCTAAAACCCAATTCCTTTCGGATCTTTTATTTCCCTTATTTATGTATGATTCATACGTCATGAACTATTCCCACTTACGTGTAGGCTCTGATCAGCTTTGAAAAATGCATCCCGCTTGTCACCATGAACCAGAATCAAGACACAGAGTATTTCTATTACCTAACAGGGCTTTCCTGTGCCCCTTCCCACAGAACCCCCGACCCCGCTCCCTGCCAGCGGCTGACCCGCTCTCTGACCCCGTAGAACCGTCTCTCCCAGAGCATTGTATAAAACACATCACACAGGGTGTGCACTCCTTTCTGACTCAGCCTGTCGTCTTTGACGCGGGACTGTGATGGGCGTCCCAGCGGCTCATTCCTTCTTATTGCTGGGAAGGCTTCGTGGTGTGGCCGGACCCAGCGTGACGACCCAGCCTCCTGTTAGAGGACACCCGGGTCACCTCCAGACCCGGGACTTTATGAGCAAGGCGGTTATAAGCATTCAAGGCCGTGCCTCTCTGGGGACACATACTCTGATTTCTCTCGGAATGAACGGGATTGTGCTTGTTTCACTTAAAAAAAAAAAAATACAGTCCATTTTTTCCAAAGTGGCGGCAACATTTTGCCTTCCCACTCACGGCGTGTGCGCACTCCTCGTCTGCTCTTGGAACTGTCTGCCCTTTTTATGTGACCCATTCCGACGGGTGTGTGGTGACACCGCGCTGGGTTTGCATCTCTGTTTCCCGGGTGACTCACGGTGGAGAAAGCATTTACTAACCGGTCGTAAATCTTCCTACGTGATCTGTCACAGTCGTCCAGACTCAATTCCCGTAGGTCGACTCGTGAGCACTCCCGGTCGTTCCAACACACCCCGTTACTCAGACGTGTCCAGGGAATCATTTCTCCCGCCTGACTCACTTGCGTGTTCCTGTTAGAGCCTTTCAGGGAGGAGAAATGTCAGATTCTGCTCAGGCCTGGTTGATCCGTTGTGTTCTTTTATGGTTTTGCTTTGGGTGCCCGGTCTCTGAAATCGCAGTTCATCCCTGCCCGTGGGATCGTCGGCCGTGCATTCTCCTAAAAGTTCTATTTTTTTTTTTTTAGCTTTTACATTTCGGTCTGTGATCCGTTTCAAGTTGACCTTGGTGTATGACCTGAGCCAAACACTGAGGCTTTCCTTTCTAAACTGTGAGGTTAATTTAATTTTGATTTTTATAAGATTGATTTTTTGTAAGATTCTTTTTTGAAGATGTTACTTATTTGACAGAGAGAGCAAGGGAGCACAAGCAGGGGGAGCAGCAGAGGGAGAGGGGGAAGCGGGCTCCCCGCTGAGCAGGGAGCCTGATGCGGGGCTCGAACCCATGACCTGAGCCAAAGGCAAACACTTAACCAACTGAGCCACCCAAGCGCCCCAGATTTTTCAGAAGATTCTGGAGAACAGAATTCTGAAGCCACCGGTCAGGTGCTGGGCAGGGGGTGACAAGACGCTGAGTCGTCTGGGCCTTTCCTCGTCTTGAAAGTGACAGTGTTGACATGTGGGCACTGGTCACTGTGAATGTCCTTCAGTGCCCGAGCAGCTGTTTCGATAGCAGGTGTTAGAATAAAGTAGGAGTTCTAACTTTTTCTAGAATGAAAATTCCTCTTTAACATAAAAGGCACTCGAGCCCTTGATGTGGTAAAAAAACATGATTTTTATTTTTACATCGTTATTAAGTAGACCCCGTACTTTATTCGGATCTCCCCAGTTTCTCTCCTGAGGTCCCTTTCCCGCTCCGGCATCCCAGCCGCAGCCGCAGTGCAGCCCACCGCGCACTCATCGCTGGGTCTTCCGGGTCGGCCCTGGTCTCGCAGGGGCTCCCACTCCCCTTGTTTGGTCCCAGAGCATCTGTAGAATGTCCCCCAGGCCAGGTTTGTCGGATGTGTTCCTCGTGCTTGGCCCAGGGGTGTGGATTTGACGAAAGAATGAGGGGGTCCAGGACATCCCCTTGACTCCCTGGCCTCTCCACGGGGCGGTTACTGCTCTTCCCTCCCTTCCTCCGTTCTTCGGAGGACAGTGCTCCGTCTAGCCCACCTTCCGGTGGGGGAGAAAAGGACGGACCGTCATTCTCTCCGTGAGGACATCCACTTGCTCCAGAACGTTTGTCGGAAAGACAGTCCTTTCCCCCCGCGAATCGTCGTGACATCCTCGCCAAACTCAGCTGTCCCCGTACGGGTGAGTCTTCTCTGGGCTTGCCGTCCTGTCCCGTCAGCCGAGTTCATGTCTGGGCTTTGGCCCCTGACACGCCGTCTCATCACTGTGCATTCACAGTAAGTCCTGAAACCAGCAAACGCATGTCGTCCGCTTGCTCTCTTCTTTTTCGAAAATGTTTTACTTATTCCAAGTTCCTTTTATTTTTTTTCAAGTTCCTTTTATTTTCAAATAAATTTTAGATTCCGTCTGTCAGTTGCCACCAAAAAAAAAAATCTGCTGGGACTTTGAAGTTGTAATAAATACATAGAACACTTTGAAAAGAATTACAAGAGGGGCGCCGGGGTGGCTCAGTGGGTTAAGCCTCTGCCTTCGGCTCAGGTCATGATCTCAGGGTCTTGGGATGGAGCCCCGCATCGGGCTCTCTGCTCAGCAGGGAGCCTGCTTCCCCACCCCCGCATCCCCCCCGCCCGCCGCCTGCCTCTCTGCCTGCTTGTGATCTCTCTCTGTCAAATAAATAAATAAAATCTTTAAAAAAAAAAAGAAAAGAAAAGAATTACGGTGATGATGTATAATGTTGAGTCTTCAGAATGTGGCTTCTCTCGATTTATCTAGGTTTCTCTTAATATCTTGAAATATATTATAGTCGTCAGGGCAAAGTTCTTGAAGAGATGTTGATAAATTTATCACTAAGGATTTAATCTTTGTAATGCTGTTGTCAATGGATTTTTAGGTCAAGTCCCAGCAGCTCTTAGCTTCTAAAAATATAATGTGCTATGGTGAGTGCTGTGGAGTGTGTAAGCCTGGTGATTCACAGACCTGTACCCCTGGGGCAAGTAATACATGATGTGTTAATAATAATAATTTTTAAAAATCAAAAGCATATATATAACAGGCTTTGTGTATTGGCTTCACTAAATTCGCTTAGCAGATCAAGTGCCCTTTTGCAGATTTCCTGTGACTTTCTACGTCTGCAAACAGAGAATTGCTTCTTCCTTTTAGATCTGGATGTCTTTCGGTTCTTTTCTTTTTCTTGACCTGTTGCCCTGGCTAGGGTGTCTAGCTACAAGAGAACTGTAAGTTGTGAGAATGCAGGTTCTTAACTCCGTCCTCATCTTAGAGAGAATGTGAGTTTTTCACTATCAGTTACGATGTTGGCTGTCGGTTTTTTAATAGATTCCCTTTACCAGGTTGAGGGCTTTGTTTTTCTTGACTCCTCATTGGTTGAGAGTTCTAATCGTAAATTCGTGTTGGGTTTTGTCAGGTACTTTTTCTGCCTCTCTGGAGATGATCGTGCTTTTTACTCCTCTGTTCTGTTAGTGGTGGGTCTGTTACTTGATTTTAAAACATTAACCTTGAACCCCTAGTATAAACTCCATCTGGCCATGGCATAGTATCTTTTTTGTTTTGAATTCAGTTCGCAAATGTTTTGCGGAAGATTTTTGTATCTGTATCAACAGGAGATCCAGTCTTATATTCTCACAGTATGTTACTCTGGTTTGGGCTTTACAGTGATGTCGGCCTCAGGGGGTGAGTGGGGACATGCTCTGCCCTCCTGCCTTCTGGAAGAGTTCATGTAGGGGTGGAACGTGTTTCATAGAATTCATTAGTGAGTCCGCCACGCTTGGACTTTCTTTGTGGGAAGGTTTTAAACTATGAACTCAGTGTCCTTAAGAGGGAAGTATGTCCGGGTTTTCTGTGTACTTGGGATTGACTTTGGGAAGCGGTGCCCATTCTGGTGGAGCTTGGGAAGTCCTTGCCATCCCTTCTATGTCTGTGGGATTGGAGTGAGACCCGCTCTTTCTTTCGGGATCCTGGACATTTATACCTTCTCTCTTTTTAACCAGTGAATCAGTCTGATGTATACATTTTATTGACTTCTTTTTCTACGAGCCCGCTCTGAGCTTCATTGGTTTTCTCTATTGTGGGTCTGATTCCTATTTCAGTGATTTCTCCTCTTACCCTTTTAGTTACTTCCTTCTACCCACCCCACACCTAGTTTGCTCCTCTTTCTCTGGCTTCCAAAGGTGGAAGCTTCAGTCCTTAATTTTAGATCTTTCTCTTTTTTACATAGTAATTTGAAGCTAAAGATACCCCTCTCAGTTCAGTTTAGCTGCATCTCGTGGGCTTTGATGTGCTGTGTTTTCATTCTCATGCAGCTCAAAGTGTTTTCTGATTTACCTTGTGCTTCCAGCTTGGATCCCCTTATCATTTAGAAGAGTGTCATTTAGTTTTCAAACGGTTGTGTATTTTCCAGTTATCGTTCGGTTACTGATTTCTAAGTTAACTCCATCGTGTCAAAAGTGGAGCCTGTATGACTCCGATCTTTCCTAACTTATTGAGAGGCATGAGGTATCCTGGTGACGGCTCCAGAGACACCTGGAAATGGTGTGTATCCTGCTGTTATTAGGTGAACTATTCCATCAGGATCCCTTAGGTCAAGGTGGCAGATAAGTAGCACAAGTTTCCCGTATCTCTGTTTTTCTGTCTACCTGTTCTGTCAA